CTCAGCTCACTGTCAACAATTACCATGAATCAGGAGCAGGTAGGACTGGCTCTGATCACGTGATCATTGTGATAGCCAATCACAGTGATCACTAGTTTTACAACCCTCCCCCCTGTATCTCTTTCTCCTCTGTGATACATTGTATATCTTTTTTTTCTGCTTCCTAGAAGAGTTCTGTAAAAAAATAAAAAGAATCATTTTTAAATATTTTTTTGAATATTAAATAAAAAATAAAATAAAGATGAAATAGTTAGATGGGGGCGGGTTCTAAGTTCGTGTCAGGGTCAATGTATTTTAGGTAGAATAAAAAAAAAGGTTTTATATTTAATGGGGATGCACCGATGCCGGTTTTTCGGTATGGAGTACGAGTACTGATATTTTATCTTCGGTACTCGCCAATACCGAATACAGATACCGGAAGTCCCATTAAGGAAGCCGGGCGGTTTATAATGACTCGCCACCCGGCGGGGATGCATGTAGCTGGCTTTCTGGCCAATCAGGAAGTTTTCCTGACGCGTTGCCTGGCGCCCTCATTACACGGCACCTGGCTTCCTGATTGACTGAGAAGCCGCCTCCATGCTCCCTCATTACCAAGTGACGAGGCAGCATGAAGCCGGCTTCCCAGCCAATCAGGAAGCCGTGGAGCATGTAATGGCTCGCTATCCTACTTCCTGATACCGGAAGCTCAAGTATCGGGCTAGGTAGCGGAGCATTTAGGCGAGTACGAGTACTTGCCCAAATACTCTGCATCGGCACCGATACTAATATCGGTATCGGTGAAACCCTAATATTTAATATCAGAGTCCAGTGTCAGGAAGGATTAAAAAAAAGCGCATATTGTTTCCTGGACCTTTTACAAGTACAGACAACAAATATCGCCCACATAGGTGGTATCGCTGTGGACGCCATTGGTAGGAGAACTTATTTTGGTGTTTTATCTGATGTTGGGTCCTGGTCATGGCAAGAACTATACAGATAAATAAAAACAAATTTTGTAAATTATTTTGAGACAGTTTTTTTGGTAATAAAAAAATAAATAATCAGAAGCTATCCATCAACATTCATGACCAACCGAAGGCCAGATTTATCCTGAATATAGCAAATAATAACTCCCCTGGACACACTAAACCCCCATTCGCACCTGAGCATAGCGGGAACATGTGCTGCGGTGATGCGCGTTCGCGGGCGTTTGTTTGCCGTGTTTGGAGCGTTTCTTAATTGATTCCAATGGGTTCCTAGACGCGCACTGAAAGCAGGAAAGTAGTACATGTCACAAATTCTTACATGAATTCATCGTTTTTTTCCCGTGTGTTTGTGCGAGTTCTCATGTGTGGGAACAAAACACGTTTGCTCGGACATGTCTGGGGTGCCATTAACTAGTAATGACAACACAAGCGCATTCTGCATCTGTGTATGTTTTGAGTATGGCCTTTGTGTGTGTTTGACGCATGTTCACGATATGACCAGGTGTGAATGGGGGCTAAGTCAGGGGTAGGCAAACTCCAGCCCTCTGGGTGTGCTGAAACTACAAATCCCATTATGCATCTGACTCTGGGAGCCATGTCTGTGGCTGCCAAGAGTCTTGCAATGCCTAATGGAATTTGTAGTTGCACCACAACTGGAGGGCCGGAGTTCGCCCACTTCTGCACTAAGGCATGCATAGGTAACCTTGGCACTCCAACTGTCCCATGAGGCATTGCAGCAGTCTGACATCCACAGGAATGACTGCCAGAGGCAGAGGCATGATGGGATTTGTACTTTCACCACAGCTGGAGTGCTGAGGTTGCCTACTCCTGCACCTACCCTGCAACCTGCAACTACTAGATTGTAAACTCTCACGAGCAGGGCCCTCCTTCCTCCTGTACTGAAACTGTATTGTTAATTGTATTGTCTTCCTAAGTTTTCCCAAAGTGTCTGCGCTATATAAATCCTGAATAATAATAATAACCTGAGATTGCCTACCACTGGGTTGCATATATAAATCTTCCACCAGGCTATACTCTAGTGCCCCTAGATGGCGCTAACGAGTATAAGAAATTCCTATACTCGTCAGCGCCACCTAGGGGCCATAGTGATGTGCGGACGGCATAGCCGGGCAGAACTTTTATAAAGCCCGTTGTAAGATTTGTACAGTTTTACGAACGTGCCTGAGTTGCAAAACTGGGTTCAGGGGTTAAGGTTAACCTTCGTCATGAAAGGGTTAAAGTCCTACCGTGGGATTGCAAGCAACAACGAGGCCACGGGGTCCCTTTAAAGCCCAACTCCAGCCAAAACTTGGCTAGTCCAGGATATATATATATA